GGTTTATATGGTTCGGATAATGCGGTATACTGTCCCACATTGCGATAACCCAGCGGGTTAAATGTAGAATACCTACAACTCCCAAATTAAATAAATTTATATTAGGATCGATAGGGCTCTTAGTCCTTATCATATTGGTATAATTTTTTTGCGCGAGAAATAATAATTACTGGTGTTATTGAAGTTCAAAGTACGTAGAAGCTGGAAACAACTGCACTACTTAAAACTTAATTTTTTATTATTTTTTTGAATTGCAGCGGACTCTTACCAATTTTATAGATTCCTCAATTGCTAACTTGCTTGTCGCATCAGTTAAGTCAGTAATCTTATCTTTCTTTGATTTAATGGGACGCGGCGGCATCTCTACTTGCGGTACCTGCTGCATGTGGCCATTGGTTATGTTGTCTAAAGTAGTTAGCACCGCTGGTCCGAGACCATCATACTGACGTCGAGGTGCAAACCCGGCCTGCTGCTGCGGTTGATGCTCATGCCCTTGGATATTTTCCATTTTACAACGCTTTTTCTTTTATTTATACTGCCCTTTTGCTTTAAGTTTTTTATATTTGAAATGCCTAGAAAAAATGAAAAATTGGTCACACATACACACACATACATAGTAAAGATCAAGAAAAATCGATATTCCGACCATCAGCTAGAAAAAAGGCAGCGTAAAATATATCTTTCCGATCAACTTAACGTACAGTTACAGTTATTTGAAAAAAGAATACGATTACCTATGCGTAGTGATTTGCACTGATTTTTATTTAAAAATAAATTATAATTTGCATTAAATTTATCTTCAAATAAAGAGCAGCAAAATCCTTCCCCACGAAACGCAGAGAAAAAGCGAATTTGAAGCCAAGAAAAAAGTTTCGATATGTAGATGTAATCGCAACATTCTTGACAATCGAAATAATGAACAAAGTGTTAAGCACTCTATACACATAGTGTTATATCGTTCAATCATTCAACAACTTTCAATCGAGAGGGAACATACAGCGCTATTCTGCATTTCGAATAAGTTCCCACATTCCGCTCCGAAACAATCGTACTTTGGTATTCTGCGAGAATGATAGAATACAAGATTGCGCCGTCCTGGCGGCGGTGACATTTGTGTACCACAAGTAAACAAAGCCGAATTGGATGTTAAAGGAGAATGTGAAACGCCGTTCGACCCAGGCCATTTAGCGTTCAACTCACGCAGGGATGCACGAAAAAAATGGAATAGCTAAAAATATCAATATCCAAAAAAATATCAAAATATTCGCCATAAAAAGGCGTTTGCATTGTTCAACTTTGCATTCTACTTTTGGTTGAACGGATTTTCAACTAATCGCTTTCAACAAAGTTAGTCGCCAGTCCACATTTAGCCATTCAACTTTTTTTTTCGTGCAACCCTGCGTGAGTTGAACGCAAAATCGCCACTTGCAAACACCTTTTGAGAAGAACAAATTTTTTTAAAATTAAATTTTCGACAGTAAACGTATTTTAATAGTGGTAAATTGTAAAAATATTTAATTAAAATAGGAATTAATTAGGAAAATGTGAAAAAATTGTGATATTTGTGTAAATATTAGTGAATTTCAATGCATTTAAGGTGTCTGGGGCGTCGTCTACTTATAGAGCAGAATTGCCAAATTCGAAAAAAAGCAAATTAGTAGTATGTCTGACTGCACCAGCTTTGTTCGCTGCATCGTGGGTATTCTGAGTTACGATCCATACTTCAACAATTTACAGGTTGTAGTAATTGTACAAAAACAACATTTACCGTTGGTATGAACTCGTAGTGTTAAAAACAGTTTGTTTATATATTCTATGCATACCCTGCGTACCATGAATTCAAAGTATTACAAAACTTGTTTATGATTTTTTTTTAAGAAATTGTACAGAAATTTCTTTATACCATGTTCTGACCGACATCGAAAACATGTTTTCGTTGCTAAAACTTTTTTTCGACCTAAAATTTGTGTTTTCGTCCATTTAAAATCTGTCAAACAAAAACCAGTTTTCGTTGAAAACTACTTGAAAACTTACGTTCAACTCATTCCAATCGGTGTCTTAACTAGTTTTTTTCGATTATTTATCGAAGTGGAAGTCATATTTTGTCATCTTTAAAACGTCATTTTGGATTAATTGTTAAGTAGACGGCCAAAGTAAAATAAGAATGAAAGTAAAAGGTTGTTAATTAAAAGAAAATGAAGGAAAAGTATTTTGGTTTTGTTTTTGTGTAGCAAACTGTAATCAAAGGATTTAAGAAATGTCAACGAAAACACTAACAACCGGTGTGAACAGCCTTCAGCTCACAATCCGTTTTAAAGTGTTTTCGTTGTCGGTCAGAACATGGTATTACTACTTCTTGTCAACCACTTCATATCGTCCCGTTTCTGCTTTAACCACGTATCTACAATTTTTGGGAAAACTATTATTACCACTTATAACAGCTGTATAAGCGTCACACTATTTGAAAATAGAACAAAGACTTAATGAGGTTGCTCACTACTATTAGTGGAACCAGAAATATTAAGTATAAAATGCGTTTATTGTATCCTAGGGGAAGAAATTAAGCATTTTTTCTTACACTCTCTAAAATACCTCTATTGCAGATACGAGGTTGAGGCAGAAACGGAACGATATATTTTTCTTTAAAGATTCGTAAAAAAATCGGAACAAATTTCCGGTACTCTTTTTTTTTTGTAGTCTAGATTCTAGGCCGGGACACTTAAGACCCGTCCACATGGAACTTTGGCGTTGCGTTGGCGTTGGCGTCGCTTCAACAGCTGACTATGAATACATGAATTCAAATGCAGCCGTCCACATAGCCAAAACTCGACAACGCTCACGCCAACACAAAGCAAAAAGATGGCCAACTCTCAACTTTTCGCGTGCGTCGCTCGTCAGCGGTTGCAAATAAATAGAATTATGTGAAATATTTTTCCTTTTTAATCAAGTGCGGGCAAGAAATATCGGCCCGTAGTCATAGTCAAAATAAAGTCGACTTTAAAGTTAGTTGCAGCTTTTTGACATAATTTTCAATGGGATATCTGTCATAAAAGCTGCAACTAACTTTAAAGTCGACCTTATTTTGACTATGACTACGGGCCATCGTTTTTAATGCAATTATTGATATGAAATATTAATTTATCTGTCGTTAGTATGTTAATTTAGTGGCCTAAGTATTCGCTTTCAAGCGTTTATTGTAGCAAGCATACTTTTAACGTGCGTTTTGTCAAACCAACGCCAACGCCAAAGCCAACGAAAGTTCTATGTGGACGGGCCTTAAGATCCACACAAAATCGCGGTTGTTCCTCTTAAAAGGTTGTTTCGACGGTATAAAGCGAAGGCCAGCTCAGTGGGTCCAAAACACTAGGCTGATCCAATAGTGTGTTCGAAATTTGTTAGACGGTATTTTTTGTCAAATGCTTAAATGTGCGTAGGCTTTGTCTTTTCCATAGACTTTGCTGCATGATGTTACGCAAGATTTGTAACGAAAGGCTTGTAGCCAGTTGCAATTAGCGCATCAGTAGTCGTTGCGATCCGGAATTAAAAATCGAGTGGCCAAGTAGCTTGAGGCTTATACGTATTGACGTATATTTTAAAATCGTGGATTATCCGGTTTTGAGCGAAATGGGTTCGGTTTGGAATGTTACAAATACAGAGTTGTACATAAATACAAAAGGGGGTTTGTAATTAGAAATTAACGTTGGCTTTTTGTAAAAATTTGGAAAGTTGTGTAACCTTGGCAGTGTTGTTTCCATTGAAAATCTCTGCAAAAGTTTTGTGGTCTGTGTTATGAGTCTCCTGCAGTGAAAAGTCTGGTGTACGTAACCACCAGCTTGTCCACAGAAACACTGATTTGTACTTAAAACACGAATTTTACATAGATATGTTCTGTCATAAGTATGACCGGTTAAAATCCTGTTCAGCCGTTTGACCTCAGCAGGGGACAGTAACAGTTTCCTGAACCATGTCTGTTTATTCCTATTGCCCAAAGTAGGAGCAAAAAGATTCCGTGATCCCGTGAGTATTCCAAAAAGGAGTTATACCAAACAGGCCCGCAGAGAGCCGAGCCGGGCCCCTGGGACAGTTCGCGTTTGCGGGCCCCCCTAAAAAATAAACTCAATCTAGTAAAAAAATAACATACAAAAATTTTTCAATTCACATTGTCAGTTTTATTTCATATAAAATAAGATTTACTAGAGCACTTACATACATATCGACGTGCCATACGAAAACTAACACTTTTTAAATTTTTTACGAAAACTAACACTTAAAATTCTGTAAGAAAACTAACACTTTTATTTTGTGTCTGACGAAAAATAACACTTTCAATTTGTGTCTGACGAAAACTAACACTTTTATTTTGTGTCTGACGAACACTAACACTTTTAGCTAGTACATTTTCTTCAGAGAAAAAAATGAAAGGGTTACTTTTCGTCAGATACAAAATAAAAGTATTGGTTTTCGTCAGACACAGATTGAAAGTGTTAGTTTTCGTCAGACACAAAATAAAAGTGTTAGTTTTCTTCAGACACAAAACTTTTGGTGTTAGTTTTCGTATGGCACGTCGATATGTAAATGAAATGTTAGATCTCATTGTTTGATTTGCTTACATTAACCTTTTTAAATACATTTTAAGAGCTTGAATCATCCAAGGAAAACCTTCCGTGCTTTTTGGTCTGCGAATATGAAAAGTACTGAGTCAAAACTAATGCTGCGAGCAAGGCTGGACTCCAATGCCAATGTTCCAAGGCTTGTCAAGCGATTTTGGCTCATAGTAGAACGCAAAAAAATTTTTCACGCGAGACAATAGACTGAAAGAACGCTCCCCTTCAGCCACACTGACTGGAAGTGTGCAAAATATTCTTAATGCTATGCAGATGTTAGGAAATAATACTTCCATCTTCAAGTCATGAAGTTTGTTCAGAAGTTGAAATGGTGGCAGCGAATCACATCCCAAATTTGCTAAGTGGATGGCTTTGAGATGAATGATTTCATCTATTAGATCCGTAGAAATATCGATGCCATAAATCGTGCAGAATGCCGTTGCCTTTTCTCTGAGCTCTTCTTCCGACAGATCCTGATACTTCCACAAAAAACTAAATTTAATCGCAATGTCATTTACGGCTTCAAAACGTCTTCTCATGTTACCTATCAAGCAGTCCAAAACAACGTAAAAAACTTGCTGTTTGAATTGAGTTTCGGAATCACACTCAGGTGGTTCGCCAGGTAATTCATCGAACTGGCGCTTTCTTATCTTCCTTCTTTTCTCTGCGAAGGTATCCACAACTCCTATACTCCCTGCCAGAACCTTACATTCTTGAAGTATGATCGACCATTGATCCCTGAACTTCTTCAACTCATCAATCAGGCTACGTATATTTTCTGTTTCCACGTCCAGTGTGGCATTTCTAGCTTGAAGTACCATATTTCGATGGTTGATTACGGTCAACACTTTGAGCCAAATGGAGGCTAAGAGGATACACTCAAATTTCCCCATATATGCTTCAATACCTTTCAAATCCGTAACTGTTTCTGAACTCAGATTCAAAAGCTTGATTTCGTCAATAGCTTTCAATATTTGGGGATTGTGAGTTGCGAAAGGTTTCACACTATCCACACGAGCAGACCATCGTGTTTGTGACATGCTGTGCAAAGAGCAGTTAGTTTTTTCCTTGAGAATTTCCCATCTCTGAGGGCTTGCGCTAAAGATATTATACAATTTCTGCATAATACCGAAAAATGTGGTGACTTCTGCGCAACATTCAGCAGCTTGCACTCCACATAAATTTAAACTATGACAAGCACAAGGTGCAAATATGGCCAGGGAGTTATCCCTCAGGATATGACTCTGCGCTCCTTTGTAATGACCGCTCATATTA